TTTTGAAACACCCTGTAATTATAAATATTTTTTTATTATATGTATGTACTAATGTATTGCTAAAACATGTAGTAAAAGTGTGTATGCAACAGAAATTCAATCTAGCTAGTAAGTTTGAAAATAAAAATTCCGAAAAACTGGGCAATTTTCAACTTTAATACCTCAAAAACTAGTCATATGATTGAGTTGGGCCCATTGACACTTTTGGTTACTAGGTTGAGTACAACAATATACTAAAGTTTTAGAAAATTTGACAGGTCTTGACTTTACATAAGGAAAGTGCAGGGTCCTTTATTTATCACGGGTAAAACACCATAAAAGATAATATAAATTGTTTTTATTCGAATGTGACATAAAGCGTCGTTTTTCTGACACAAAACAATCGAAAAGGGGAACTTTTAAATATACTGTTTTATTTTTTATTTATTTTTGAATTCTGCTGACGATATGTTTTTGCTGTTGTAAAATAGTAGTCCCATAATCCATATGCACATCAAATTTGAATAAAAACATTTTTAATTGAATAAAAGAAAAACTAAATAAAGTATAATTAAATCGATTTGACATAAGCACACTAACATGACAGAATTGTTCAATTGTTATCAAGAATGTACCTACCTAGTCATTCTTATCGATCACAGCCATCTCAGTTATAGAAAAAATTGGAAATAATATAATTTTGTATTTAATTTTCTATATTTTTTTAATATCTATATGCACGCACATTCGAATAAAAAATAATGTATGAAACACGGACGAAAAGTGTATTTTCGTCCTAATAACATAAACTACTATTATCTACGACTGTCATTATATGCATGTTAAATATGCGGTTCTAAGGCACCAATAAAACCCATATTTCACTAGAGAGAATATATTCATAATACACGGTAGGTATTTGTCTAGTATATCCTACTAGAATTATTAAAAATCATTAAATAAATATAGTACGCGTTTGTCAAATTAGTTGCCAGTTGTTCGTTGTTCCCGATTCTTTATGACAAAGAAGTCAGCAGAGCACCTCAGTTTTTAAAGATTTTTTCAAAAACAACACCATATTTTTAGGCTATTATATATTATATAACTATTATAAATATTATTAAACTTAAACATATATTTTAATAAACTTAAATATTATAAAACTTTACTAAAAAATTGCTATTTTTTAATAATGCAGGGTGCTTTGTTGGAACAAAGTCTGTAGAACAACTTGTTTTTTATATAAAAACAACTATATATGTCAATTATGTCATATTTTTAGTTTCTTGATATATAAATATAAAGCATTTTGAAAAAACTGCTATTTTTAACTAGGTTTTTAAAAAAACAATTACGCCATATTTTGGGCTATTTTTAAACCTTTGAGATATTTTAAAATTAAAAAAATGCTATTTTTAAAAAATACGGGTTACTTTATTAGCTTCGAACAAAGCCAGCAAAGCCATCAGAGCACCTCGTTTTTTTTAAAACCACACTGAAATATTCCGAAAAATTTGCAATTTTTAAAAAATACGCGATATCTTGCAGACTTCAAAGTTTTTTTTCTAATAACAAATATACCATATTTTTAGAATCTTAAAATAATAAAAAACTTCATTTAAAAAATGCTATTTAAAAAATTTTATCGAAATATTTAATATATTTCAAGGGATTAAAAATGCCCTAAAAATGAGGTGTAATTATTTTTAAAAAAATATGGTGCTTTGCTGGGTTTGTTCGAAGCATTACGTATTCTTTAAAAATTTCAGATTTTTTTAAATGTTTTATAATATTTCAAGAGCCTAAAAATAGCCTAAAAATGTGGTGTGGTTGTTTTTAGAAAAAAGCTTTAAAAAACCGAGATGCTCTGCTGACATGGTTTGAAGCTAGCAAAAAAAAATAACTTCTGTCGAAAAGTTTTATATTTCAAGAGCCTAAAAATGTGACACAAGTAGTTTAAAAAAAAAAATAAATAAACCAGGGTGCTCTGCTGACTTTGATCCAACAAAGCACCTTGTATTATTATTTAAAATGAAAATACTATTTTTTTTAAAAAGTTTTATATTTCAAGAGCCTAAAAATAGCCTAAAAATGGGGTGTGGTTGTTTTTAGAAAAAGCTTTAAAACCCGAGGTGCTTTGCTGGTTTCGTTCGAAGCTAGCAAAGCACCTTATATATTTTTTAAATATTATTTTTTTCGAAAAGTTTTATTATATTTTAAGAGCCTAAAAATAGCTTATAAAAGGGGTGTAATTGTTTTTAGAAAAAAGCTTTAAAAAAACGAGGTGCTCTGCTGGCTTCGTCAGAAGCAGGCTTACTTGATTTTTGCAAAAAAACAAGGAGCATAAAATGTTTGAATAAGGTATAAAGAGACTTAAAATAGTCCAAAAATATAGCATAGGTAACAACTCAAATTCCGTAGGTGCTCTGCTGCCTTCTTTGGTATCGATTCTTTCTTGAAATCAAGCTTAAAATTAACAGTTTCAAGTGTCTATGAAGTAAAAAATGGAAGATAATGATTAGATGGAACTAACAACTAACACCTCCTGAAATCCGCGACGCTGCTCAAATGGCGTTGTTGGAATTGCTACCTGAGACATCGAGGAAAAATTATGAAATTGCGTACAACAATTTTATATCGTGCCAACAAACAAAAAATGTATCCTCTTTTTCTGAAATCGAGTTACTTGTGTATTTTGAGGAAATTTAAAAAAAATACAAATCGTCTACTCTATGGACAAACTACTCCGTGATAAAAAGCACAATGTCCACAACGATAAATATCCGAGATTACGTGCTTTGTTGAAAAGGCGATCCGAAAATTACGAACCTAAGAAATCTGAAGCTCTGACTGGCGAACCAATTGACAAGTTTATGAAGGGAACCTTAGATTTTAAATATTTTGGAACAAAGGTAAAAAATCGAATCTAAAATCGAAATTCTTAACTTAATCTACTTTTTTAAAGTTTCCTTGATTATGGGGTAATGTTTGCTTGCCGATCCTGTAAATTAAAGAATATGAAAATTGGGATTTAAGATATATAGAGCTCCGGCCAGAAAATGCACACTAGATTTCTTCCTCAATTTCCAAAAAGGAAAGTGTAAAAACAAATGCTGACAATAAACAAGTTTGGCGCAATGAGAAAGCAAATTGCAATGTTTTTGCAATTACCAAACCCTGAGAGATAGTGGCCATTGCCTCAGGCGTTCATCTGCAACATTGGTTGCTGATGTTGGACCTTCAATGACAATATTAAGGCTGGAAATCCGCCTCCACAGCAGAAGGGTACATAGCCAATTCAAAAAAAGAACAATTTTAAGTCACATCAGTAATGATAATTGTATTGGACTCAATGATCCTTCTGCCAGTAATGGTCATGATTTTTCTATAAAAACCAGTAATCGCAATGATGTTACCCCGAGCCATTATTATTTCAAATTCTAATGTTAATTACATCAAAGAAATAATATTTAACGAGTTCCTGCATATTACTTTTATTTCACAAGGGGGCTTAAATATCCTTCATTTAAGAGTTCTTGTCAATTCTATTTTCAACAACTTCAAAGAAAATTTCTAAAAATCCCCGTTTCGTTTTCGGTGGGCCACCCTGTATACAGTTGTAGATAAAATATAGATTTAATTCGTGTATAAGGGGATCATACAATACTTGAATATTTACAACACTCGTTAAATAATATACTATTTCATTTACAAATATTAATTTAAAAAAAATTCCCATGTAAGTGTTTCGTAGCACACTTTTAAAGTTTATTTTTGATTTTTAGTAAAAGAAAAATATGTACGCGTAGGTAAAGGTTAATTCTGTGCTGTTCTGGGGCCACTTTTGAAAAAAATATTCTTTTGATTTTTTAACCATTTTCTCATTTTTTTTTAACGAAATAGAATTTTGGAACAGTGGTTATAAAGGAACACAGATTTAACTTTTACCTACAAGTAGGTACATATTTTTGTTTACTAAAATTAAAAAATTAAAACTTTAAAAGTGGGATAGTTACTACAAAATCCTACATGGGAGGAATGCTTTTTTATTTTTTTAATAATTGTTTAACAAAGTAATAAACGAGAATGTCATAACTGTTGTTTGATTGCTGATTTCTTATCATAAACGACTCTCTCTTATACACACAGCTAAATTTGTCTATATTTTGTACATATTTTAAAATGGCCTCTTCAAAACAATTAATTATTAATGTTTGTTTAATCCACAGTAATAAATATTCAAGGTTAGAAAAAAAGTGTGTCAGACACAATATTAATGCATTATAAGTACATCCATACGCACCTAGGAGCAGTGGTTAAAAATTAAGTAAATTATAGGTATACCGGAAAGCTAGATTTTTTTATATACGTACCTAAGTACTTACAAATTTTCTAATCTAGCAATAATTGCTGCTAACTGTATTATGTAATTTACGTGTGTCCCTATCCTGGTAACGCGAAAACACATTAAATGTCCTTAAAAATGTAATATTGCGTTAAAATTGTGACGTAATAACTACAACAATAGTCTTGTTAAATTTTATCATTGAGAGATTAAGCTAGTTTCACTAGATTGGCACAAAACAATCTATACAATCTGAGGCTAAATTGTTCACTGATTTACCGATTCAACCAAAGAAGAATAATGGTACTTAAATCATTTTTAAATGACATCAAAATTTATGTACTCTTCGAGTGTTGTAAATTAGTGGTCGAAATTTTTGGGATAGTTGTATAATTTGGAAACAGTTACATAAACCATTTAATAATATTGTCACCTTTCTAGTAGACAGTTACGCTCTAACTCACCCGACCATAAAACAGATTTTTTCTACTTTTAACTGTTTACATATAATTATAATTAACATTAGATAACTAAATTGCAACTATAACATAGTATCTTCATCGAGTGGTAATTTTAAATAATGTTCGTATAACACCAAAATCACGAGGTTCATAGCTTATCAAATAATTCAAAATAATACTTAATGCGCGGCTTTTAGCTGCTATTGTGAACCCACCTTTAGGAAACGCGTTAATATTAGGCAACCCCCAATGTGGCTGGGGGGTTGGATCTGCAGGGGAAGTACCGTATGCCCTAAACATTACGCACACTCGGGCACTTTGACAGAATTACGCCCGCAAACATACACTTCGAACACCAAAACTGACTGCGCTGATTACAATGTTTAACGTCGCGCGATCACGATGTTGGAGGAGCGGCGTTGCCTATCTAACTTCTTAGAATTTCTCTAGATTCTCCAATAGGGCTTTAGTAGCCTCTGTTGACCTGGAATATTCCGACAATAATCAATAAGGCGCCCCAACAACACAACAAAAATTTCTAATAGTTTCCGAAACATACGAAGTAGGATGTTACAGTATATGGTATCGATTTTAAGGCAATTTCAACAAAAATTATAATTGAATATCAGCTACGAAAATTTTTCGTTAAAATCCATATTATTAAGGATAATTTTAGCTTACTATATCAAGTACAAGATTGTAACAGCAAGAGCTTTGTTATAAAAATGTTTCCTGTTAGATTTTTTATGGTTACACGTGTTCGGGGCAAGAATTCAATTATGTTTAGGTTAATATATCATTTATTTTTAAAATAAAAAAATATATATTTTAAAACTACCTTTTTTAACGGCCATGACTTAAAATTATTACCTTTTTTGTTGCGATTTGTATAGTGTATATACACGTAAGAATCGTAGAAATTTTTTTAAACCCAGACACAACATTTTTGAAGAAAACGAAATTATAGAAAAATGTTATTTTTTCCTGTTTAAACTTTCAATATTGTGTGTCAAAATTATCCTGAATTTTGTAATACATCGTCAATGTATAAATTTAAATGATCTACATTCATCATTGGCAATTACTGAAACAAAATTATAATTTTTAAGCAAAAATAATTTCGAATATGAATTAAAATTACCAAATAAGCCCTTTTCGTCAATGTTTTAATTATTTAATATTAATATATTGAATTTCCTTGATTGATTATAAGGTTTTGTGTATATGACAACGTTGCTTTCTATTTGATATCGCTGGTTGTCTAGCTGTTTACATGATAGATCTAAATGACTGGCGCGCGCATGTGACGTAACAATCGCATACTGCACCAAAACAGCTGGCCTATACAGTGTCGTGTCGATAGCAGTAGTTATGGAAATAATCTATCTGTAGGAAATACACCAAATACGAAAATAAAAATTATTTTTTTTATCAAACAAGTTGCTATTTAAAAATTTTGTAGAATGCGGGGAAATAACAAAATTTGGCAAACAAAAATATTAAAATTGTATTAACTGCCTACATGTAATAATAATTAATAATAATAATAGAGGTCTTTATTTTTTCTACATCCATGATAAAAAACTACAGTAATTTCACAATTAAAATAGGGCTTAAAAAAATAACGCAGAAGATCAGGTGAATGTGTCATATGTTATAAAGAAACATAGACTGTTTTTCATCTTATGGTATAAAAAAATCCTAATTCTAAAAAACACATATTAGTGCTTGAAGATATAATTTTGAAACTATAAAATTATGATAGAGAGTGGCAGGAAAAAAAGAAATATAACATAACATTGAGATTATATCAGAGAGTAAACTCAATGTCATTGACTTTTTAAATGATGAGATTGGTTTATTTTTTATTGATATTGTTAGACTATTATATATTTTATACACCTGGTACGTAAAGGAGCGTTTGAATATTTCAGTGCGATTTCGCTCACGTGACCGGATATTTGTGTTTTTTAACGAAATTCGGAATATAGCTTAAATGGTTTTTCTGCAGATGATATTCCAAGCATTTTTATGTGTCTGCGAAAGGGTTGATATGCAAAAAAAATTGTAAATCAAAAAGTGCATTAATTGCTTCCAAAATGTTTATATTATCTACTTTCACATGCAAGCATTTTTTAATCAGTAGTTCTACCCCAATCGTCATAAATTAGACTATTTTGACATTTTTTCTAGGAAAGTTATCGGAAATTTCTATTTTGTTTTTACGTAAATTTAGATTTTCAAAATTTTTCTATACACCATAGTCCAGGGCATTTACAAAATCGACCGGAATAGCGGAAATTTTTAGGAACAGCAGATATCGAGATGCGGTTTTCTGCATTGTGTTCAGGAAGGTCCCAGGAAAAAAGTCTATATCGCCTGCTTTAGCCATTTTTTGAAAAATGCCTTCTGGGTCGGAAAATGCATTTTCCAATTGCTTCATTATTGCACCATTATAAGAACGACTGGAAACTCGGAAAAATCGCTCGGAAATCGTTACTCGGGGGTTTTCGGGGCTGCCGAAATCGATTCTGGCATTAGAATTACCTGGGGGTGGCTCTGTGGGGGTGCGCGGGGGGTGCATTGGGGAGAAATGGCAGCGTCCATGAAAATCACTCCAAAATCGATACTCGGGGGTTTTCGGGAGCAACTTCAAAGAATTGAAATTTTCTTCGTCCAAAATAATTACTTGCATCGGGTCTGAGAAGTGTACTGTTAAAGTTGGCCAATACAAGCTTTCTAACGTAGATCCTCTCATATTATTTCAAAGAATTCTCGCACCCAATAAGCCGGAAAGTACGGAATTTTATTTAACATTCGAATTAGCAGCTTATCCCCCGGGCTATGTTTGACAAGAACGGAATGAGGAAAAATGAAAAATCAAAATTGTATCAACTTTTTAAAGAAAGATCTGTAAGTGTAAGAAGTGAAGACACAATATGTTATTGATGGAGGCATGCTTCTACATAAAGTTAGATGGAAAAAGGACCAGAACATGTTAGAGATATGCAACGGATATGTTAGATACATAAAGAGAGCATTTGGGAACAGACTTTTTGTTGTTTGCATAAAAATTCCGCCATCGTATGCATGGCTCCAGATTACTGGACGGTCATGACGTTGCCCGCAAGTGTAACTCAGGACAAATTTCTAGGGAATAGCAAAAATAAGTCCCAGCTCATTAAATTTCTCCAGGAGAAATTGAAACGGGCTAATATAATGTCTCAGTAGAATGTAGCTGATACGGATGTTGATATTGTGCTCAAAGCCATTGAGACTGCTTCTGGAAGCCGCAACAATAAAGTGATTATTGTTTCGGAAGACACTGACGTCTTAACAATGTTTGCTGCTCGGACTACATCGAATCTAGAAGTGTTCTTGTTGAAGCCGCCTTCCGCTAGAGTACCAGATGTTGTGTATTCTTCCGAGAGCTTAGCATCCAGAAGCGCGTGCATCAGGTTTCATATATTATTTCTACATTCTTTCACGGAATCTCAGCATTTTTCTATCGAGGGAAAGTAAAATTCTGCGATTTGTTTGAGAAATCCGATGATTTACATGCGTTTGCAGAAATATTTAAGCAAACACATGTATCTATGGATAATTTAATAGATCATGGGCTTCGTCTAGCTTTGGCTCTTTACAGGACACGAGCGATAAACGTGCAATTGAGAGCTCGTCCTTCTAGCTATCGAGCAAAAATGTATGCTGAAGCCACCAATTCTAAAAAAGTCGATCTTGCACGCGTAATCTCGACTACCAAGGAGGAAATTTTAAGCAAAATTTCTTGTTCTTGTGGAACCGACTGTGGCACGAGGTGCGTGTGCCGCCGAAGTGGGTTGGAGTGCTCACTTGCAAGCAAACATTGCGATGGCAATTGCTTAAACCAAAAAGGCACTTCCAACGGAGCCGAGAATAGTGACGAGGAAGAAGATGAAGAAGGGGAAGAAGAAGAGTTTGAACAAGATGTTTAGTATTTAAGTTAAAATTTAAGTTTATAGTGCATAATTCAACATTAATAAAAACTAAAACTCCTATTTGTTATTTGAATAAAGTATTATTTTCATAATTTTTGATTTTTCACTTTCTCCTTTACCATTTCCCACAGAGCCACCCCCGAACGCCCCCGGGGAAGTCTAATGCCAGAATTGAATTCGACATCCCCGAAAACCTCCTAGTAACGATTTTGGAGTGATTTTCATGGACGCTGCTATTTATTCGGCATCCTCGAAAACACCCGAGTAACGAATTTGGAGCGATTTTCATGCACGCTGCCATTTCTCCCCCAATTCACCGCTTGCGCACCCCCACAGAGCCACCCCCTTACACCTCCGGGTAATTATAATGCCAGAATCGTGTTCGTCAGCCCCGAAAACCCCCCAAGTACCGATTTCCGAGCGAGTTTTCCTAGTTTCCAATCGTTCCCAATTGTTCCTATAATAGTGCAAGTAATGATACAATTGGAAAATGCATTTTCCGGCCCAGAAAGCATTTTTCAAAAAATGGCTAAACCAAACGATATAGACTTTTTTTCTGGAACCTTCCTGAACACAACGCAGAAACCCACATCTAGATATCTGCTGTCCCTAAAAATTTAGGCTATTTTTCCTAACTTCCCTGGACTACCATTAATACTTTCATTTCTAATTTTGTGTTCGAAATATGCTTTTTTTTCATTTTTACATGCAAGTTTATATAATTTTGTTTGTCTTGTAGGGTCCGATTACAATAAGAAGAACACACCTACGTCATCATTTGGCGAAGTAAGCAATTGACTATCGCCGCCTACTGGGGGTTTAGTGGCTTGTTAATATTATAGGAAATAGTTTTTATATCCAGAAATTAACTTATTCTTTTTTTATTGATTGTTATAGTTAATATATATTTGAAATTATAAATAATGGCTATGACGTGTTCTTCTTACTGTAATCTTATTCTAACAGTCCAAATGGGCAGTATTATAGTTTTTGCCTTGTAGGGTAGCTTCATAAGCAGTCTGATATTTCCAATAATCCAGGGATTGTCTTATGTTAATTTTATTTGTTGTAGGGAGTATACTTATTAAAGAAAGTTATCAGATAAATACCGTAAATTAAATTGAAAGGTATGTTCTCAAATTCTTTGCGGAAAGCAATTAAATCTAAATTTTTAAAATATTTGATTGTTTTGAATTCTGTAGGTCGTTTTCCTGAGGCTATTGTTAATTCGCAATAGACTAATTCATGGCGAAACATGTGATCCACTGGTAGTACACCTGTATGTTGGATCATCTCTTCATTAGATGTAATTATTAAACCAATTAGTGTTTGCAAATTTGGCAGTATATGGGTTGGTGAATTAATTATATCTCATTGGAAATGATAACGTTTAACAAAACAATGGAGTGGAATTCTCATTTTCTGAAATTTTTAACTTGTTTTTTCTTTTTATATTTTAAACCGTGTGGGTCATTTTTTCTTCCCTGTTTTGCTTTCTTTTCAGAACAAATGAGGGAAACCTTAGTCGGGTCTGTGGCATACGATCAAATACGTAATTATATTTCACCTTCTCCAGTCGAACATTTTGTACAACTTCACCTGTGTGTAAGAAAATATCTGAGAAGATACTTCAACTAGCAAATCATATTTTGCTTCAACAGTCAGATAGCCGTCTTCTTTCAGGATGCCATGTGGTTTACGTCTTCTCGTCCTACCAGTGTAGAATTCCATTTTAGAATTCCATAAATTATATTACTGGGATACTCTGTGTCACAATCCCATCTGTTTCGGACACAATAATGTATCTTTTATCTAAGTTAAAAATATTGATTTATTTTTATTTTTAACTATGTGCAACAGTTTTGATTGTCTCACAATATTGTACTATAAAAACTATATTTTTATTGGTTTTCCATATCTTAAAATATTAATCAATAAAGGTAAAATTATCCTGACCTGAAGTAAAAGAATAGAGATATTTATTCAGATTGTCAGTGTCAATTGTATATCATGTCAATTAATATTATTGGTTCTTATCCATTCTTCTACAGTTTGTTTCCCCGAAACCCAAACCGGTCAACTGTTACGCTAAAGACTGGCATAGGGCGTTTCCCTGCGCTTTTTCTGTAGCCAATTGAATTTATTATTTACCTACGCTGATTTTTGTCTCATGTCCAATAATAGATTCCAAAGCTCACTACGGACTTTCATTTTTCAAATATTTAAAACGAAAAGCTTACAAAAACAAACAATATAATTAGAAAATACTATTGTATAGAAGTAAACGAGGTATATTACCGTGACGTTAAAATTAGAAAATGACAAAATTATTTTATCTCTTTAAGCCATACAACAAGTATAACAGTGTTGCCTCGAAGCAAGAAATAAAGTAATGGGAATGGCACACAGGGCATGAATCGTGTGGTTTTGAGGCGATCATTTAATTCAACTTGACACATAGTTACGCTGCTGGTCTGCCTCAAGTTCCTGTAATTTCTAGCTTGCCGGAAGGAGCTCGGACAATACTTTTACAAGATCATTGGAAGAATGGTCTAATGCCTAATAATACTGGATTATGTCAATAAAACCTTCTTAATAGGGGATACTGTGCATAACAAGCATATAAAATTGAATAGAAGTAGCAATTTGATAATATCAGAACTCCTAAACATGTGCATATCAAAACCATAGATTTAAGCGCCACAGAAATGTGTCCCAAAATTCTAGCCAAATTATCTGTCGATACACACTACTCATGTTAAAATGAAACAACTACTACATATTTTCTGACGCCAAAAGATATACCATAAGTCTCAATAGAATTGGTGGTAGCTTTTGCAAGGCATGAGTACTAGTTCATTTTGACTCTGGATCAATAATGGGTCTTAGGGTGGTTAAAAATCATAAATGCATGTTTGAGCATTGGGCATAATATGTATTTGCGAATTAAAAAATCAAATAGATAAGGAATAAAAAAGAAAAGGTTGTGCTCTAAAGAGGTTTGTAGCAAAGAAAAGTACTAAATATAGCAAACAATATACACCAACTTATGCAACAGAAACATGTTGGTTGCACCAAGATTTTTGTTGCAGCTGCATATTTATTGTTTTTGTAGCGGCAAAAATGAAAGATAACGTTCTACATCAGGGATTCACAAAGTGGTCAATACCAACCCCTTTTTACTGTGAGTTTTATGATGGCAGACACGAAAAAATGCAGACAATAAGTTTGGGCTACTTGAAGTTTGGATTTATTCCATCTCTATCAAATCAGCACTTGCCGATGTGTCTCATATGTGAATAATTATTTAGTAACGATGCTATGAAGCTTTCAAAAATGAAGAACCACTTATCAAGGATGCATGCTGACAAAAAAGTAAGCTCTTAAAGAAAAACTAGAGAAAAGGTCATCCATAATATCAAAGTATTGTCATCATCTATGCAAGAAGTTGATGGTTTACAAGCGTCCTATATTATATTTTGTTAATAGACGCGGTCGAGGAAACCACACACAGTTGGAGAGCAGCTTATTTTACCAGCCATTGCGGAGGTCGTCAACAATGTATTGCACAAGCCTGCACATGATATTATAAAGAGAATTCATTTGAGCAATAATACCGTTCAGAGACGACTAGACGAGATGGGTCGAGACATGGAAAACATTTTATGCAATATCTTACAGATCAACAGATTCTCTCTGTTTAGACGAGTGAGACGAGTCTGCATTACCCGGATGAAGCTCTGTTGTTAGGATCTGTTCGATATATTTAAATATGTGCCAATAACTGCTTTTTGCTACATATGTAGAGACTGATACTAGAGGAGAATCGATATTTCAGGCCGTGGAACCGACATAGCTATTCCATGGAAGAACATTGTTTCTGTTGCGTCTGATGGTGTACCATCTATGGTTGGTCGTCATCGTGGTTTTATAGCTCACTTAAAGTGACAACTATCTGAGGTACTAGTCATTTACTGTCTGATTCACAGGACAGTATTTAGTAGCAAAAGTCTTTACAATATGTTACAAATGCTGTCAACAAGATTCGAAGCAATTCTTTGAACACTAGATTATTTGTTCAGCTATGTGAGGAAAACGACTAAGTCTTTACTCGGTTACTTCTGCACACTAAAGTTCACTGACTATCAGGAGGCTACTGCTTAGCAAAATTTTAAGCAATTTTTGAATCTGTTTTGGGAGTTTTTACAAGAAAAAGATCCGAATTTGAAAGAAAATCTGAACAATTGTAAAACAGATATTTTTTACTTGACTGATATCTTTGGTATGTTTAACAAAGTTAATTTGCAGCTGCATGGTGACGATTTCAACTTGATTAAAACAAAATCAATAATATCGGCCTTTGTGGGTTAAGTTATCCTTTATAAACAAAATTTAAGCAGAAAAAAATATTCACAGTTTTCGCATTTGTCAAAATTAATTATTTTATCATATATCACTTGGACGCATTACACAAGGATTTTACTAAGAGATTTGAGGATCTCTTAAATTTACAAATTCCTCAATGGATAATAAATCCGTACAGTTATGGAAAAAGCCAATGTGATAATGCAAGAAGAGTTGATGTATCAGTTCATTTTGAAAAAAGGGTCTCTTGCCCAAAATAGTTTGGGAATCTCTGATCTACATCAACAAAAGTTTCGTAGGTATTCATAATCATTATTTCAAATTGATAGATAAGACAGAGAAGAAAGCGTGAATTAATGTCTAACATTTAAAAAACCTATTTTCATGAATATTAGGGAGCCGATTTCAATTAAAAAAAAAAAAGAAAAGGAAAAACCAGTACAACGTGGTATTTATAAGGTGTGGATAGTTACTTAAGGGTAGTAATTTTGGGGCTGGTTTCTTTGTGGCTATTAGTTTTCTGGTCCCCTTGAGGGATTCCGGCAGGCTCCTTCCAAATCAGGCTTGGGTGCCAGCCTTGAAGGTAAAATGGAAATCCCATTTTTTACAGTTACTGCGACAATAATTATGAGATGCTGAACAATAATTAATAATTCGTTGATGATCGGTTTTTTGTATACTTTATGTACTTTGCTTTTTTTACGGGTAATATAAAAATTACTACTCATCAAACAACAACTACAACTGAATCAAAGCATTGGCAAGGAAGTAATCTTCATCTGGGTCCTTTCACATATCGGTATTAAGGGAAAGGAAGATGCAGATTTAGCAGCAAGGAAAGCAGTGAGGAGTAACCTATCAATGCGCGTTCATGCGGTCGTTCCATCCGACTACAAGTGCTATCTAAACACAAAAGTGTACAACAAATGGCAAGCCGAATGGGACCAGTCCCAAGACAAGTTATCCCAAATAAAATCAACTGTAAAACCTAGGTCTAACAGTCTAAAATCTAGAAAAGATCAAATCGTGATAACTCGCCTTAGGATTGGTCACACTCGGTATACTCGCCAACATCTAATCACTAAAAGTGTGCGAAGTGATTATTTCTATAGAGCATTTTGTATTTGACTGTCCAAAATATACAGAAAATCGTCAAAAAACAAACTAACTACTGACTGGAAAGATATCCTAAATAACAATTTGTATAACCTAATTTCTTTTTTTGTACAAATTAATTTAGTTGTAAAGTTGCTGCACTATTTAATTTTTTGTAAACAACGTACGCGCTAATAACTCAACGCGGTTGGTACGCTTTTCTTCTTAAATAAAAAAAAAAATGTTGAAAAACGCTGAATTTTTACCTTTTATTTTCGTAAAGCCGGCAAACGCCCACTTTTACGAATGATGGAAAGTGAGCTCTGCCGCTGACTTCCGGACCTGCGCCGAAAGAGGCGATTTTCAGGAGCACTTGAGGAAAGCTTATTTTCCTCGCCTTTAGCATTTTCCTCATCGAGGGTCTTTTCTCTTTTGTGAACGCTAAAAATGATATCTTCGCAATACTTCCAACTCATAGACAAAAATTATTAAGCGCTGAATAAGAATTTTCTAATGATTTCTTAGTTGAGTGAAAATCAATTTTTAGGGAGTATCTTTGCAGTTATTTGGATCTATAAAATATACTTCAATCTGCAAACGATATCTTGAGGACCGGTATTAACTTAACTGGTTAAATAATCGATTATTTATCTAAAGGTCAATGGTATATTTAGATTTAAACTTTTTTAGTTAACTTTCTTTATTTAACTATTATTGGTACTATCTAATCAGTAACGATAAAATATTAGAAACAAGTTATATTTTTATAAAGTATTCTGTTTTAGAATCAATATACTTTTGCGTTTAGTCAAACCTCTTGTCAAAGTCTGAAAACAAATGGTTCGTTCGGAATTTCTATAATATTTATGTATCCAAATATCAATTTGGATAGGTGAAGAAATCGGAAATTTAAAAACCTTGTCAAACTAGAAATAGAAAGAAATGGTAAAATAGTCTGATATGTGCCATTTAAAAATATCCTGTATCTAGTTCCATACTATAATGAATTTTCTTGAATTATCTTAAACACGATAGATGAAATAAATGGCCTCCACAAAGTCTGGCTTTCAACCTTATAGGGACCGTGCGTGAAATATAGAGGCAGCACTATTGCCGAAGTTAGCCCTCTCTAGTGTATAATTTTAGAATTAATTGGGGTAAACATTGCAAGTAAATAATAAAGGATATTTTTTAAAATATTAAATATAGTTAAAAATAGATACCGGTCCGTACCAAACAATCGTGTACATGGTCAAAATGACGTAAAATGTGAAACATTATTAAAATCTGGACATGTATATACATTTTAAGCAAAAAGATTTAAATGGCTAAGTGACAATAAATTGTAAAGTTGTACCTTAAACAAGTGTATCCAATGTCAAAATATCGGTATTTAGTAACACTGAATTTAAAAGTATTACAATAACATTTAAAAAATGTAAATTAATAAAAAAGATTGATAATAATAATAAATCTTTTTAGCTTTATGTCTATGCTCTATGTTAGTCGAAATGTCATTCATCCACTGACGTTTATGAGATGTCCAATGATACATATTATAGATTGCTCACCCATCTATAAAAAAATTATGAAAAGCGGGTTGTAATGTGCCTTTCCTAGTGCTCACTAAATAGAGCCGTTCTAGCCCAAATGTGTTTTAAAATAAAACTTCAGCATTTTAATCCTAAAGATTAAAATAATTAAAGTTTTACTTCAAAACATGTTATTATGTATTTGGAAAGTTGAGTTTCCATGTTATTAAATAATATTAAGAGATCTAAACAATTTTTACAACAGATGGATATAAATAATTTTAGACTACTCTCATTTCAGAAATAATACTACATAAAATACTTAATTGCAATATGTAATACAATTTTGAAAAGGTAATGTAAACAACTTTGATATGAGGTATAAACAACTTTGGTAAGAGTTGTAATTGGACACTTATCTATTATTCTGAATAATGTTTAATGGTAATGTCACTAAAAAAATTTACAAAAAAATCACTGGATTTTTAATATTTTAAAATTTGTTGCAATCCCTTTTGACAGTAATTGCACTGTATTTTTTTTTAATTTGGTGTCATCGGCGTCGACTACTACGGCCATTAGCCTCGTGTTCTGTGTAGGCTTTGTTACTGTTTCCCAGCGCCACTTTAGGAACAGCAGTGTTGATTAGAACCCAACCGTGAATGGTCGAGTGGGGAATCCTATCAAGGCATCAGAATTAATTTTAAATAATTTAATTAAATGAAAAAATCCCGGCCAACGGTGGGATTCGATCCTGAGACCTTCCGATCTCAAAGTCATGACTCTAACCACTGAGCCAACCCACCCCCCCAAATTGCAATGTATTATTTATGATTTGTTTATTTTAATAATAAATGAGAAATAGTTAATAAATTGTAAAGAGGGCAATGATATTTTTGTCAAATTGGACATTCTTATTTCATAACATTCTACATTAGTTTTAATCAACAGAATAAACCACTAATTATCTGTAAAATTATATTTATATAAAATGTTCATTTAAATATGTAAAAATCTTAATAACAAGAAAACACTAAAGATTCTAATTTCTAAACCGGTTCTGTAAATGATTTCTTTACAACTAAATTCTCAAAATTGATACAAGCTAGATAAAAAGAAAACTTTGCCCAGTGAAATATGCTTTTCGTCGTCTGATTTACATATGGATAAGCAATCTTTGTAATTATGTATATCATTGGGTGTGAGACATTAATTGTTATGCTCTGTGGAAATTTATTTCTTTACTATCGAATAAAATCCAGGTTTCCAAAGTGATGTGTTTGTACATCCACGGATGCAACAAGTTTTTTCGATAATGATATTACGAAAATAATTCGACTTTATTTAATTAATAATTATTAAACAATAAATGCCGTATAAAACATTAATAAATCCCCCCCATAAAGTTCACATTTTTGTCACCAGTTAGCGTTAAAGTCATAACGCACGGTCCCTATAGTGCATGTAGGGTTGAAATTTGAAATGGATTGGATCAGAATTAAGTAAGATTACCTATTTTGAGGCATATGGGCGGTCGGTTAATGTCAGTCTGTATTCCAAAGAAAAGTTGGATATTTGGATAGGTAAAGAAATCGGAAATTTAAAACCCCTTGTCAAACTAGAAATAGAAAGAAATTGTAAAATAGTCTGATATGTGCCATTTAAAAATAAATGTACCATAACTTGAATAATCAAAAGTAATTCAATATTAAGTAATATGTATTATTTATTTTTTCTTATTGGTATTTATATATTCTTAGTAATTTAAAACTAACCGTAATAATGAACATTTTAACCCTACGAACTATTTGTAGTTAGGTACAGGAGAGGGGGTGAACAATATGTACTATGTCTCGGTGATGGGAGCGGTCATGTAACCTGTCAAATTTAAAATAAAGTTGTTTATCGAATAATTTTTCCTTTTTGCTTCTAGACGTCAATAACAATAAAAAATTCCTTTGCAAGCATTTTCTGTCTTCTGGTTTTGCTACTTGTGGTGTAGGGATTTCGGTAACGTGACCGGATATTTACCCTTTTCAACGAAATTCTGGATATAGTTTAAACGCATTTTTTCTGAAGCATATTTTTGTGTCGGTGAAAGGTATGCAAAACAAATTTACAACCTAACGAAAAGTAACCTGTTTTTTTAAAATAGGTGTAAAATCGGAACCAAAAGACGAAAAGTGGTTTAATTGCTCTCAAAAAAGTCTGCACGACTTTCAAATAAATGTATTGACCTTACAAGCATTTTTATTCAGTGATTCTACCCCTTTCAGCCTTATATTCACCCTGGGTTTTTGAGAAAAAAATGTCAAAATAGTCGCCGTTATGGGAACAAAAAAAAAGGCCTGCAAGGGCAATACTCTTATTTGAGAATAATACAAAATTTTTTCGACTTTTGGTTCCGATTTTACATTTTACGCCTATTTCCAAAAATAGGTCACTTTTCGACAGGTTCAATTTTTTTGCATTTTAACCCTATCGCCCACATAAAAAATGCTTGCAATATTATCTTAGTTTCAGAAAAAATGTACGCTATATCCCGGATTTCGTTGAAAAACACAAATAACCGGTCACGTGGCCGAACTCTCTGCACCGGAAGTAACAAAACCGGACTACAGAAAATACTTGCAACGGTTTTTTTGTTATCAAAGCATATATTTCCTTGTCAGCAAAAAAGGAAGAACATCGATAAGCAGCTTTACTATGAATTTCACAGATCACATGACCACCTCCATCACTGGCACACGTTGACCCTCCTCCCTTGTACCCAACTACAAATAAGCAAAAAAGACGACGTACCACTTCTTGCAGGGATACTGGCGTAGCTATCATAGGGCAATCAGGTGCATGCGAAGCACCGTTGCCCCGGAGATATTTGGGGCTCTTCTGATAATTTTAATTATTTTATTATATTCAAATTCGTATTAATTTTAAAAATTTAGGTTTTGAGATGTCTTAAAATTATAACACAAATTACAAAATGTTCTAAATCAAAACTCAAAATTGTTTATGTTCGTTGACTTTTTAGTTTGACGTTTTAGTATTTAAAAAATAATAATTTTACTTTTTTTATTGCTAGAAAAGTTTTAACATTTTGTTTATTAGTTTTTGGGATGCATTAAGAGTTCATTTTTAGTGTCATACCTATTTCGATTAGAGCATGTACCTAGAATCTGGAAAGTCGCTGAAATTGTAATGATACCCAAACCTGGAAAACCACCAAATGAAGTAAAGTCCTATAGACCTATATCTCTGTTACTAGTGTTATCTAAACTTTTCGAAAAACTTTCACTTAAAAGATTGAAACCACTGATAGTATAAAAATATAATACCTGAAGGTCTACAATTCCTGGATAACCGATACCCAATGAGAAGGCTCAGAAGGACCAAACCATTTGAATTAGCGATGTGAACTCTTAGTTTTAAGCCTCTTAAGTTTGCTTGAGTTTATAATAAAGACAAATTGCTGGTTGGCTAAAACATAGCTAGGGTGCAATGCAAACTAACAAAAAAAAACTATTTAAACGTGTTCCTCTTTTTTTACCAATTTAAACTTAGTGTTCTATAACTTTAACCATATAAGTATTTTTTTTATTTCTGTAAATGTTTTTTTTATGATTTTAGGTCTTATTTTATTTTACTATTTTTTTTATTATTTTATTTACTATTTTTTTTACTATTTTTATTACTATTTTTTACAATTTTTTTTACTATTTTTTTTTCTATTTTTTACTATTTGTTTTTATCAAAATTTTTAATATTCATTCAAATTTAAAAATTGTTGTACCAAAATCATCAATAATATTTAAAAGACCTTTAAAAATGTCCGTCCATTCGTCCAATGTCACCTCTTTTGTCCGCACGATAAATCAAAAACGAAAAATGATATTAACTTGAAATATTAAG